ACCCATATGAAATGTACGCCGCTCAGAATATAACGCCAACAGTTTTGGATGCCATGAACGGAAATGTTTCCGAATGGTATAACGAATGCGACAATGCCATTAGAAGGTCAGAAATAGTTCCTGGAACTTACGAATATACAACTGCTGTTTCTTATGGAAACGTAGGTGAGTTTGGAGAAGGTTCTTCAACAACAGTAGATATTGCTTGCGACAGGTTTCATATTATTTCTATTGACAACTCATTCTTATACGTGGAACAAGACATTGAAATAAAACCTTCTGCCAAGTTGTCTGACAAGAAAGGTTGCAATGGATTTTCTATGTCGGATACCAATATGCTCCAGAATTTTCATGGGATATAAGATATATTCTAACTCTGACTTAGTTCAAACAGTAACATGGGCAAACTATGAATGGTTCGCTTTGAGAAACTCAGTACAACCACAAGCTAGAGAACAAACAGACCAGTATGCAAATATTGAGAAAATAAGAAGACTTGACCCTAACGTTCAGGAGTTATGTTAACCTTTCTGGACAAACTGCAGCAGCAGTAACCAAAGTTAAAACTGAAACTTAGAGTTCCTTTGTCATCTTTCCTCATCTTCAGGTTTTTAAGATACTTGCCAAACTGGGCAGGAAAAATTTCTATCGAACTTACTCCAAGCAAAAATAACTTAGTCATTGCACCAACACAAGACCCATTCACTATTACAGACGTAAAGGGAACCAAATCCAATCTTATGGGTAAAAATATAGAATAGTTGGATTTATATATCATAATAGAACCCACTCGGACCAAGCTTTACTTTCTTCCTGACTGAGTTTTTAACTCTTTCTTTTTCCTTCATTGCCACTACTTTCACTAGATGAAGTTACTTTCTTCACTACTTTCACTTTGTTCTACTCTTCTTCTTTGGTGTCGCTTTTGGTAACTTGCCCTCTGCTTCAAGTTGTTGCATCTTTGCCTCATGTTCACTGCTAGTATGTTGTAAATTTCCCATGTCCTTTTTGCCTTTGGCTCTGGTCGCCCATCTCAGGTAACCTATATCCTAGAAGATTTTGTCATAGTTTGTATTTGAGTCTTCGCGTATTGTTTGCATGACTCTTTCCTGAGTTTCCGGTTCAAGCTCTTCAAACAGAGCTTGTCCATTATGGAATAAGCTCGTTTCCAAATATATGTTTTGTAGCCATTCTGGTTTCTTTCCATGTTACCAATAATATCTTTTGTGAATGGGAAAGCTTTTACCCAATGTTTCAGTCTTGCGTCATTTATTTCTGTAGTTGGTTTTATTTTGTCAAGGAACATGTTTTTCAATACTAACATTTCATTTGGTACTGTCCATTTAGTTTCTTAAATATTCATCCCTTCTCGGTTCATTGTCTGCAAAGTAAGTTTTTATGACATTTTTGTAAACTTTCGTTTGCAAGGTCATGTACAAGGTGCTCTTCCTTCTATCTCCCTAACTTTCTTTCTAAACTCTTCACCAAATATACCATCTCTATGGTTCTGTGTAGTTCTTTGAGATAAATGTTCTAGAACGTCAGGTGTTATATTTCATCAGCCTGTTCATTCATACTGGTCCAAAATATCTGCATGTTTCATATCTTTCAATGGCATTAAAGCCGCGCTGAAAATACCAGCTATATCTGTTCACCATTCACTTCCATTGCGTCTACAACTTCTTGGAATTGTGGTTGTAAGTTTATGAACCACCTATCCGATTAGCTTTATGACCCATCTCATTGTAGTTCCATAGTCTGCAGAAACAAAAGTAGGTTTGTTTCCATATTGGTTAGGTTCTGAATGAACTTTAACAATGTTTCATTTCTATATGTTTTGTTGAAATTTAACCTTTATTTTCACCGAGTTCAGGCCAAAGATTGAACGTTATATGGCGTAAGTAAAAAAGATTGTTGTATTTGCGTACACTTTCTTTCAGTACTTCCATTCTATGCTGAATATTTTCATCTGATGTTGAGTCTTTTGTATGTCGGCGAACATTTTTCGATATTCTTCTACTATGTCAGCCGAATTTTTCTTAGACTCTTGGAAAGATTCCATATTCCCCGCATACACTTGTTGAGGGTCAAGATTTTTCGCTGTTCCAAATCTTCATCTAGTTCTGTGAAGTTAGTTTCCAAAGGAGGGACTTGTTTGTTTCCTTCAGGCTCTTCTAGCTGTTGTTGCTGAACTATTTCTTCCATGTCTGGTTGTATCTGAACTTCTTCCTGTGGAGTTTCTTGTACCTCATCTGCTGGCATTTCATATATTCCGAGACCGTTTTTAAAAAGTTCCCTATCTAAGTCATCCGGACTCATAAACCTTTCTTCTTTCGTTCCGTCTCTATTTTTTACGCGTTTCATGAAGAGAGTTGAATTATCATTTAGCTCTGACACCAAATATCTCGGAGTAAATTCATTCATGTCATTTGGATGATATGCTATTAAATCATATCCTTAGCGAGCTTGTATTTTCCAGGTTTGAGATATATCCCATTTGGTGCTGAACCATAAAGCTAAATAGGTTCGGGTCAGTATTTCCTTCCTTGAACTTTCTAATAGCTTCTTTATATCTGTCACTAAAGTCAAGAGTATCTGGGTAACCATAATCTTCCTTAAGCATTTTTAAGAATTCTTGGTTTCCTTTTTCTCTACTTCTTTTATGTCCTTGCTCTGTTTGTGGAGGTGGTTGTTGTGCAGGGTTTTGAACTGTTGGTTGCTGTGCTGGATTTTGAACTGTTGGTTGCTGTGCTGGATTTTGAACTGTTGGTTGTTGTGTTGGTTGTTGTTGCTGTGCTGGGTTTTGAACTGTTGGTTTTGGTTGTTGTTGTGGTGCAGTGTTTTGAACTGTTGGTTGTGGTGCAGTGTTTTGAACTGTTGGTTGTTGTGTTGGTTGTTGTGTTGGTTTTGGTGCATGCCTGTGTCTGTGTCCATGTGACGATGTAAATGTTTTAGGTAGTCCTGGTGCAGGTGCTTCTCTTGGAGGGTTTGGTGGTATATAAGTTCCACTAGCTAGTATATAAGTTCCACCAGCTGGTATATAAGTTCCACCAGCTGGCACATATGTTCCATCTGCAGCATAATGTCCTACCTGACTTTTCGTTTTTAAGAAAGCATTTACTAGGTCTGTTTTGGTCTGTTGTAACTCTTTTTCTTGACTTTCCACAACAGTTGCTCTAACGGCATCATAGGCACTTTGAACTGCCTGTCTCGTTGCTGCATCTGTTATTTTCGTCATATTTTGTGCTACTTCTCTTAACTCTTTGTCGAAACCTTCAGACTTCAGTTTCTTTCCAGATGAGAAGTCGTTCACTAGTTTCACCTTACTATGAAGAGCTTCGAAGGCGTTCTTAAAGTCAGCATTCATTAAAGCTTCATTTGAACTGTCTTCATCCGCTTGTATTTTTGTCCTTATTGACCCTATAAGTTGGGCTGCTTTGGCGTTGGCTTGGGCATCTAACCAGTCATTATTAGCTTTTATATATTCTGCGCTTTTCATTGCCTTTTGCATGGCTGCGTCGTTATTTTTACTTTCTTGTGCTAAGTTTTCATACTGTACGGTTTGGTTTTGCAACTGTAAAAGTTTTTCTGCCTTTACATTTGCTTCAACTTCTTTTTATACTCATCGCTATCCATATATGTCTTCAGGGCTTTTTGTTTATTTCTTCATCTTTCAGTACTTTATATTGAGTAGTATGGTTTTTCAAATTTATAACATCTTGTTCCATTTTTGCTACTTCTGCTGCTTTTTCTAACCCTTTTTTTCGCATATTCCTCTGTACTTAGTTCTTTCAGTTGTTCTTCTTTCTTCTTTTTCTCTACGTTTAACTCATTGAGTTTCTTTGTGTGTCTGTCATATTCTAGTTTCTTTTCGTTTTCACTTATTTGTTTCTGTATGTCTATGTTTGACTTTTTGACATCTGTTATTTGATTTTTGAGTGAACTCAAATTCATTTGACTTTGAGGGTTATAAGCTGTTCCGTCTGCAGCTCCACCATAGCCTGCCATTTTCGCTAAAAGTGCCGCTCTTAAACCTCCACTCTGTGCACCAATAACTCGGTTTAAAAGCATAGGGTTGCTTGACATTGTTGCAATATAGTCATTCATCATTTGTTGTTGCAACTGTTGTTGTGGTGTCAGTTTTACTATTGGATGTTTCAATGCTCCCTTCCTCTTACGTATATTCTTACGTAGCTTACGTGGCATTTTAAGTGAAGTTAAAAAGCGGTTTTTGACAGATGTTTATATGACACTTTTTGTTCAGCACAAAAAACTACTCGGTCAAAGTGTTGTCAGTTTTGTAAAATAACCGTCCTATCTCATTCTATAAGGGGAAAAGACTTCTCAAAGTATACTTCCGTGGAACGCCTGTAACTTTTCCTGTAGCGACGATAGACCCTTATTTGTCCGGACAAAGTTATACTATTTTGAGTGCTCTACAAAAAAGTCAACGGCTGGCTCGTCCTCCTCTTGGGTCTTGGGCAAAATTTCTTAGGGGCTAGAAGGGGCGCAGCCCCTGGAAGCCCCACTACTTTTTTTTTTTTTTTTTTTTTTTTAGTAAATTATTCAGAGATGCATTGTTGCTGATGATCCAGAAATCGGATATTTTATTTCAGAATAAAAAATTGCCGTTTAAAAATTTCAATAATTTGATAAAATCATGAGCAATTTAAGGACGGATCTTATTAAATTTGATGACGGAATAGCTAGCATCAATACATCATCTGCATCTGATATTGTTTTCAACGGAAGTCCAGAGGAAAATAATGTTTTTGATCGTTATTCTTCTGAAAGCACGGAACAGCCAGGCGATTCTGTAGAGGATTACTCTACAATTTCTTCTGGGATTGAAGAGCTAAAACAAAACACACAAAAGGGAAGAGAAGAAATTCAAGAACTTAAAAATCGATTGAAACAAAAGGAAGATGAATGCAAGCAGATTGCTTCAAAGCTTAACATTGAAAAGAGTTTTAATGATAGCTACGACGAACCAATAAATGAAAACGATCTTAGACATAAAGTCAAACTATCATCAGAAGCAGATAAGATTAGACAACTTATGTCAAAACTCTCAACAGCACAAAAAGAAATCGAACTCAAAGATAAAATTATTGATGATCTTAGACGTACTATTGAAACTCAAAAGAATGCTGTAATTACTACCAAAAAGGATGTTATTGTTCGTAAGCCATGTACAAAATGCTCTGTTTTACTCAAAAAACTCGAAGGTTCACAAAATCAATTATACGAAGTACAAGAAGTGCTCGCTAAGCAAACGAATGAGATGAATCAATACAAATCAGAACTTTCAACTCTCAAAGATGAGAATTTGAAGCTGAAAAACGAAAATGAAGACTTGAAGACTAAATTGATGGAAGCTCAAATCAAAATCAGCAATTATGAAAAGTATCCTAATGAATTAACAGTTACTGCATCCATTATACAAGGACTTTCGCTTGATAAGTCACTTGAAAATGATATATTGAATATTATTGAACATGAACATTTGATGGAAACAAGCAAAGTTCAGTGCATCTTTACAAGGATTGCAAAGTATGTAGAAGATGATCATATTATGCTTGAAGGTAAGATCAAACAAGCTAAAAGTGAATTGGCCGCTCAACGCTCTCTTTTCAATGATTTTCTTACATCACTATCTATAATTGTTGAAGATACTCCTTTGACAGTTGATAACTTAAACAGCAAACTTGCAAACACAGTTCTTGAAAACATCAAAGCTTTAAGAACGCAAAACACATCTCTTGTTTCAGAAGTTGCCAAGTACATGCCAGTAATGGAAGCTTTAGTTTCTCTAGGATATGATAATTCCATGAGTCCACAGAAATATGCAACATACCTTCAGACCACAATTGAAAAGCTGTGCGATACAATCAAAAAACAGAAAAAGAAACTCGGAAAGAATGCAGAAGTTATCAATCTCTTGGCCACAGAGATGCATAACATCGAAAACGAGAAAGAATCTGAAATGGAGAAAGCAAGGATCCAAATACAAGACCATAAAATGCAGCTTGAATCAGTGCTTAACGAACTTGGACAGTCAAGAAAGACAATTACTGAAATGTCATCCGAAATGCAAAAATCACAAATGGAGATTCAAGATACAAAGAGATCGTTAATAGAAGAAAGAAGAATTATCGATGAAAGGAAGAAAGAAATAATGCTCGTTCCACAAAGAAATGAACAATCACAGATTTCTCAGAGTGAAGATGTGAAATCTTATGTTGAAACGATAATGAAGCTCAAAATCAGATTAGCAAAAGTTAAACAAGAAAATGTTTATCTGAAACAAATAGTTAATCAATTTGACCAACTCAAAGCAGCTGCCAAAAGTAAAGATGAAGAGCTGGCTAAGCTTAAAGAAGAGTTTACAAAATATCAGCAAGCTGCTGACGCTTATGAACAGATGACAAAGCAAAATCTTGTTAAGGCATATGATAATGCAATAGCTGAGCTTATGAAGAACCTAGAGAGTTACAGAAATAATCTTGTTAAACTCTCTGCAGCAGAAGCTCAGTCAAGATCGGATTGCGAAATTCTTATATCAGAAAACGAACAGCTAACAGAACGTGCTGAGAAAGCTGAGGCCGAACTTGAGTCATTAAGACTTGAATACCTTAATTCAAAGAGATTGAATGCATTAACTGAAAAGTTTAGACTTGAAAGTAAGCAAAATTCCGTTTTCTGAAGTGTAAAATCCCTTTAATAAGATTTAAAGGGAATGTATCTGAAAGTTTTGTTATTTAATAAAAATTCTGCCTGTTAAAACATTGTTTTTTAGTATTAATTATCAAAATTAGATCATATTATTTAGTGGTTTTTCAATCTGGGATACGACATGGCTCTCATTCGATAAACTAATCCCTCTACTTTTATGATGAGCTCAAAACATTGTAAGTGTCTGAATATATCCATGTTCTTTCGAACCATCAATTTCATTGCGATAATCCGGAGAGCTTGGCTCAACAATATGTTACTGCTGTTCATTGGTCCACAAATGATGAAGGATCTTCAATGAATCGGGAAGAGTTGAGTTCTTCAGATATCTCTCATTCGATAGTAGAACTCTAAATGAAACACAAGCTTTTTTGACTAATAAATTGACCAATTCCTTATTACTAACTGATTTTGTTGTAGAAATTGAATACATCTATTTCAAATGATTCATTTTGAGACCAAAGAACGCGAATATATACAGTACATATGCAAATAAAGAAGATCATATCATCATGATTTTCCAAAAAAAATTCATTTTTGATTTTTTATCATGAAAAAATATGGTTTTGAATATTAAATTTTAAAAATTATGAAATTTTTGGAGTTTTCAGAGAAAATCAATAAAGGTGAATAGACATAATTTTATACAAACTATTAAATTGTGGTCTTCATTTGGATTTTTAATCAATTTTAATGAAAAATATTCTTTCATATCGTGACATTTCCCAAAACAACCATGAATATTTATTCATCTCCAGATATTATGTATTATACAAAAGAACGAAATCTAAAAAAATAAAAATATGTTGGCAAAAAATTAGAAATGGAGAGTGCAACATCGGATTTTACTATCATCATTAGTTTGGGGAGCGGCAATGCTAAAAAATATTTCGTACAGAACAATTCCCAAACTATTACTTCTCCCCAAATTGTTGAACATGAAGTAGTTTTTCAGATTCATCCAACTGATCGTAATTTTATATTCGAAGATAAAACACAATGCCCATTTGAGGATAACACTGTTAGAAATTTTGTTAAACAACTCAAAAATGGCCATCACAACGATGTTCTCTTAACATTTGACAAATATCAATTTACAGCCAAGAACATATTATGCACTTTCATTAAAAACTTATTACTACATTATAACGAAGGCAGAGTAATACGTGATTATATTTTTATTGTAGATCGTGATGAAATGATTCCAATTATTCAGGAATGTGCCGCATACAATCATATTCATCCAAAATTTATACGTTCTTCAATTGCTATTCCGTATAATGGCATTGAAAAATTCATAAATCAGAAAAATTATCCTTTTTATGGAATTTGCTTTGATTTTGGCAAAACAGCCATTCGAGGTTATATTACCAAATACACGGAAGAAGGAATTACCCCTGAAAAAGAGATTTACGATGAATCAATCAGCGGAGATCGTTTTACAACGATTCTTCTTAATTATATCCTTCATTTATACAGCCAATCACCAGATCTCGATCCAGAACACCAAGCTCAAAGAGTTTTAGAAGGAACTGCCTCAAAAATGGAATATGCGAACTATTTTAAGACAACACAGAAAGTTCAGAAGGGTCTTTCGACACAACTCGATTCGATATTTGATGGCAATACAATTTCGGCTTCATCTCTTCGATTTTCATCAAAAGAATTTATGGAAACTCAAGAATGGAAAGATTTTACCATTGACATCAAGAGAATCGTTACTGATTTCATCAAAGATTACAAGGATAAGAATATCATGTGCTTTGAATTCTTAGGAATGACTTCTTGCTCTCAATTACTAATTGAAACAGTTTTCAAAGAGATTTCTGATGATTTCGGACATCCGCAGACATCGTATTTCAACTTAAATGGTGCTGAACTCACTGGAGCCAACTTACTCTATCAAAATCATGATACAAAATATATTCTTGATCCAGAGATGCCGAAACACATTGAATTCACAGAAGACTATGATGAATTTATTAAATACAATGATGAATATGAAGAAAACAATGTTTTAATCAACGCTATTTATGATTATAAGAAAATCAACAAATTTAACATGAAAGTGAAGAGTTTCATCCCAGAAAAAGTTGCCGTATTTGATGATGAATCTATAGATGAGTTAATGGATGATTATACTGCATTTTCATACCAACAAGTGAAAGACATGTATCAAAGAATGTCTACTTATTACAGTGACCAAGTACAAGAGAAGATCATCGGAAAACTCACTGAATTTTCTGTTGATTTCGATGGAGAACAGATTGATTTCGCTGGATTCAATAAAAAACTACATGATAATAAAGTAAATAATCCAACAATACAAGAAGGTATCAAAGGATTTATCGAAGCATGCTTCCACGGCTTCAAATTCGCAATTGAAATATTTGATTTCAAATTCTTAACGAAATGGGGCGCAAGGTTCAATATCTTATATGGAAACTACGTAAATCATCAGAAATTCTTAGAGGAATCAAGCAATGGAGAAATTCCTCCACTCTCGTATTTGGATTTGATTAAAGAGTAAAAATTTACTATTTTTATTGGTTTACTGACATTTCCGAGTATATTCCTTTAATATTTAAGACGGTTCTCAAGAAATTAATTATGAAATTTTTTAATATCGAATAAAACTGGTTCTTTGTAACTGTAATATGTACAATTATTTGCAATAAACCATACTTTTCTCAAAGAACTGATTTTTATAAGAAACATTTTTGAAATTAATATGAAAATACTCGTTGCAATCATAATATTAATAAATTAAGTTATTAGTTTCAATTTTGGAATGTTGGTGATGTTTATGGATATGTTCCAAATAGTTTTCTGAAAGTTTTTATACCAAAAATAAAACAATGTGAAATGATTCAATTGGCTTGCGATAGAATCATATTGAAATTTTTGAATGATGTAAGGAAGAATTCAAAGCAGATCAGGAAATTTTCGTTTTTGGATAATACACCTTATGTCATATAGGATTTTTTTGAGAAATCAAAAAACCGCCATGTAAAGGCAAAATGCTCATCGAGAAAATTGAAAATATCAACCAACATTAAGACTCCTAGAATTTTCTCCAGCAAATTGCAAAAAATGTAATTTAACTCCTACGTTATGTCACTTTTATCACAGAAAAATGGCGACTAACGAACCTCCGTATACATCAAGGATGATGTATTTGGTCGGTAACGGCAACCAAGAGAGATGTTCTTTCGACTTTTCTCTTCTTTCTTTTGATGAATACAAGCCATTCTTTAATGGACTTCCGAATTTTATTTTCAAGAAGTGCAAACACATTAGATTTTGCAATGACTTCTACTACGAGTACAAGAAAGATGGTCGCCACAGTAAGAGGCGTGAACAAATCATCGGCGCTTCAATTATGTACAATCATCCACCATACTTGCAATATCTTACAAAGATTATTAAGCGTGTCGTTCCAAAATCTCTCCATCTCGAAACCCTCGAATTCTCAAACATCAAAATCCCTTCAAAATATATTAACACGATTTGCCACGCTGTTGCCAACTCAACATCCGTAATTAACGTTATTTTCTCAGATGTTCCACTTGGCGATCGTGGATTCAATGAGTTAATGGACAATGTCTCTCCTTATCAAATCCAAACAATCACAGTAAACAATGGTGGTTTAACTGCCAAAGTTACTGACATGGTTCGCGAATTTTTGAATAAGAGACCACACAATGCATGCATTGTCCGTTCAATCAAAGAAATCAACATCAAACAAGAAGATTTTCCACCAGAGGAGCTCGAGATCATCAGACAGATGATTGCAGCCGCCCAGAAGGATGATGATGACTGGGATACTGCAGAGCAATGGGAGTCAAGAGCACTTCCACAGACAGAATTCTTCGAATCTTCTACAGTCGATTTAGCAAAGCGTCCAGTTCCAGTACACAAGAGACAAGGATCCCGCTTACCAGACATCGAGACAGATTCTGACTCTTCAAACGATAACCTTGACAAATCTCCAAAATCAAGCCACTCGCACAAGTCAAAGAAGAGCAAATCCGGACTTGGCAAGATCGAAAAATCATCCGAATCTACACGCCGCTCCAGTATTATGGAGGTTAAGCCATTAAAGTCTAATAAATCCTCAGACAGCGAAAGCGGAGACGCTCCAATCATCAAGAAGGCACCACAGATCCCAATACCAGTCAATACAAAGTCCCGTGACCTCAAACTTGATGAATCTTCATCTTCTTCCTCATCTGATGAAAAGGAAGACTCTTCCAAGCACGAGAAGGAAGTTTCTGAGAAGAAGGTCGCATCTCCAGCTCCTGTTAAGGCTGCTCCACAAGAATCTCCAAAACCAAAGGAATCTCCAAAGGCTTCACCACTTCCATCACCGAAACAAGCACCAAAACAAGATAAATCAAGCGACAGTGACAAAGAAGACGAAAAATCCTACTCATACGAAAATTCTTCATCTCATGAAGAAAAACCACCAATGCTCGTTGTTATTAACCACGACAATGTTTCAAACAAGTCCGCAAAAAGTAGTTCCTCCGATCATTCCGATAACGATGAAAAACCTGTCATAATTAACCATAAAAGTGACAACTCCGACCACTCAGAAAAAGAAGAGTCTTACACTGAATATTCTGACAGCGAGGAAGTCCATTCATTACAGAAGGAAGGTGTCGAAGAGATCTCAATTCCATCCCAAGAGCAATCAGAAAACAAAGTAGTTCTTCATGTCTCTGATGAAGTGATGCAAAAGAGTATTAACAATAACAACAACGATGAAGACAAAACAACATTTACAACAGAAGTCATCGAGGAATACGAAGAACAATACACGTTTGTTACTGAAGAACCAACAAAAACTGAGGAAAATTCAAAGAATAAGGAAGAAAAGTCCGAAAAAACAGAGAAATCCCAGAAATCAGAGAAATCTGAGAAGAGCGCTAAGGAAGAAAACAATGACGACGAAGAAAAGTCTTCTTCTAGCTCTTCTTCCTCTTCATCTTCTTCTAAGAGCAAATCTGGAAGTAAGAAGGCTGATGAACCATCAGAATCTATTACAGTTAATGTTGGTGAGGCAAATACCTGCAAGCCTGACATCGTGGAACTTGGTGTTCCGGAAACAGGCGCATAATTTTATTATTATGACTTTTATTTATTTCTTTTTCTTTTTTGAGCATAAATTTTTTTATAATTTCGATGCAATTTATTACATACTTTGTTGATTTTTTCTATTTCTTATCAATGACCAAATATGGATAATATTTACGGTACAACTCTTAATATTTGTAAAATGTTTTATTCATGCATGTTACATACAAGTAGGTGGATTTATTAATTGGAGTCTGGTATTGCAAAGCCAAGATTCGATAAAGAAACGATTTTGATTTTCACAAATTTCAAGAAGTTTCTGCGAGGAATTTGCATAACATCTTAAGGAGGTTTCACTGTTCAGAATTGGCTTCCCGAAAAAATTGTCTTCACAAAAAGCGGTTTTGACAAGCCGTGGTTTGTCCTTTTTACAAAAGAATGCAAAACGACGCCGGCGAAATCGTTGATATGCTTATCCCACGCAAGTGCATGGCCACAGACAGATTGATCCCACCACACGACCACGCATCTGTCCAGATCCAGATCGCCAAGGTCAATGACGATGGCCTCCCAACTGGCGAATTCGAGACAGTCGTCTTCTCTGGCTACGTTCGTGCCCTCGGAGAATCTGACTACGCTCTCAACCGTATCGCCACAGAGAAGGGCCTTCTCACTGGCGTCTATCGCAATGAGGCACACAAGCAGTAAATATTAAAATAAAACTTATTGCTTATTCATTTTCATAATCAACTAATACGAGTTTTTAGAATATATTACTACTAAAAATTTCAAGTATTGCGATACGATTACTTTTTCTTTTTTTATGGAAAAAAAGACCAAAGAAATCTGTTAATGAGTTTTGATAGACAGATAGATAATAATTTTTTATGAACAGTAAGAGATATAAAAATAATATGAATACAAAAACAAATTTGGAAACATATTATCAAAGTAATTGAAAACTTCATCAGGTGTCGTTCCCAAAATGGCTTGAAGTTTCGGTGGCGTTTCACTGAAGTGTTCGCATTTATTTCTGATCATTCGAACAAGGTCTCTCATTGAGTCTCCTCCATAATCACCACGGGATTTCAAGTCGTTTACAAGCTGTTTGGGCAGCTTCTTCATCCAACTTGTGCACTGCAAAACTTTGATTCGGTGTTCTTCGAATTTTTGGACAAGATTTGCTGGAGTCATGGTCGACGATAGCTCATCGTTAATTGAATAGTAAATTTTTGTGCGTTCTGCGATTGTCCAAAACAATGGATGTCCCAAAGCTTCATCCGGGGTTGGTCTTTCAGCAGGAGATGAACTTTCCATATCAGAAAGCAAATCCAAGAGCAATGGATCGTAATGGATGTTATAATGGTTATATGATCTTGCAATTACCATTGCAAGGTCCCAGATGTCTTTTGCACGCTTCTCTGATGAATATGTCTTAGTGCAACTCCATTCTAACCCTGCAATAGTAGCTTTTCCGCCATCAGAGAAGATTACATCTTCAGAAATTGATCCGTGAACCAAGCCAGCGTTAAATATAGATTTCAACGCGACAAGTGTCCTCTCTAGGAACTGTACAGCATCAAATTTCTCGAAATTGAACGGTTCGAGTTGTTGATATCCGATAATTGTCACGTTATCTCTAAATTCGTCTTTTAAGAACTTGGCTGTGTTATCAAGAAGTCCAACACTTCTTGCCAAGTTCAGAGATTTAATGTTGATCTCTTTCCTGTAGAAGAGAGTGAGTTTTCTTCCTCCACAAGTTCCTTTTGTTTTGTCTGTCTGGTCTATGATGATCGGATCGAGTTTTCGCTCAACTCTCATGAGTCTGCCGATTAAGAAGAGAACGGCTCTGAGCGAAAAATAGAGTAAAACAAGAATAATCGGAATGGAAATGAAATTTGCTGGCAAAATGGATTTGTAAGTATAAGGAATGGGTTGTTCGTCATCTGATCGCTGGTTTGGAAGCATCTTATTGACCTTATGAGGTGTTGTTGAGCCAGTTTCGTTTTCATTTGTATTATTTGACTGTGAAACTGTTTCATTTTGTATATTCGTAGCGTTCTCCGTAATGTTTTCTTGTTCGTGAGGTAAAGTAGGAACAGCCAATGAAATATCTGGTAGAAACATCATATTTTGATCAGCAATTGTTCCAGATTCGTTTCCTACTATAGTATATATGAATTTTCTATCGGATCCGTATATTCCTGTCACAAATCCTGGGATTGTAAGTGTTATTTTTGCTGTTTCATTGACAGAAACCGAGATTTCATTATTATTTTGGGTTTGAACATCAACATTGGTTCGAATAGTGTTCGAATTCTGATTGGTAAATATCTCAAATTCACTATATCTAACTAATTGTCTTACTTGTTCTATAACATACAGATCATAATCGATTCTTAACATGGTAATGTGATCTGTCTTTGGCATTTCAGCATTTTCCATTGGAACTGAGGTATTTGATTTAAATGAATATGTAATATTACCGTTCTTTCGGTCTATGAAAAAAATTGAAGTGATTTTTCCTGAAGTAAATATTTCGCCACTCTTAGATCTGAATGGAGCTGTATATGCTAACTCCCTTATTGACATTGGTTGCTTCTGAAATCCATTTTCTTGATTATAGGTAAAAAGATAGCCATCAATAGAAGGAACATATGTTGTTTTACCAGTGGACATGGAAGAACAAACATTTCCGCCTGTATTGATGGACCATTCTATTTCACCATTATTAATATTAACATAATAAAAGGTTCCGTTTGATATTCCTATAAAAATATGATTATCATGCGTATCCCCACTCCATATATAAGATGTTTCAGATTCAATTTTCGAAATAGATAACATTGTAAGGAGAAACATTTTTGATAATAATTTTTTTATATATGATCGCATTTGCAATGATCATCAAAAAGACCATAGTATATGTGGTTATTGTGCAGGATCAAAAAAAAATCTCATTCTTCTCTTGATGTTATCGAAACATATATGATTGTTTGTATTGATAGCTATTTAGCTCAGAAGAATATGACAGATATGCAATTGAATTGTTTCCTTATTGATTTGTACTCTAATATGCATATTTATTTTTTTAGTCAATTCTATCGGCGCGATGCACCGATAGAATTAAGGGGTGAAATTCTGAAGTTTACATTTTCACCATAATTTCGGCTTTTCTCCCTGAATAATAAATATTTCCTTGTTTTGCTAGCGGCAAATAAAGTTTTATAACATGCCCCGTCATAAGGAATAATAGGGTATTTAATAAATTTATTAGATATTGAGAACAAAAAAATATTTTTTCAAATTTAAAAAATTAATAACTCAATGCAGCTTTATTTTCAATCTTTTATTCATAATGAAATATGAGTTTTAATAGTAGACTTAGAGTTTGATGTGACGGATTTTTAATCCGTCGTTCTAACGGAAAGTTGAATAATTTGTTAAAAATATATCTCAATGCTTAGAGCTTTAAAACATTATATTGGGATAAACTGATATAGCGCTTCTACTATACATTTGTTTCCATTTATTATTTTCAGTATACATTCATTCAATAATCCAAAAAACGATAAAGTTGATACAAAAATAATAACATAGTAGCAATTGTAATTTATATATGCATAGCATAATAGCATTAAAATATAGATAAATATCTATCTTTTGATATATCGGATTTTTGATTTATCCATTCTATCAAGAGATAATTGAGAATAAAACTCCCGACTTTTTAAATTTTTTCTCAGAAAAACACAAAAATCATACACATTATCTATTTAAATGAATGATGCAGCTGTATATACCTCAGAAAAATGTGTAACATTTCATTACTTAATTTTGAAATTCAAAAATGAAATTTATATGAATAATTTTATTTAACATTATATTTTGTTTGAACTATATTTCCTTTATCTACATAAGTACTTTATTATTTATTAATGCGAAATGGTTCTATAATGCAGATTTCAAATTTATTTCAAATTACCCAGATTTTCCTTACTTTTACCACTCCCCATGTAATTTCTGGGCAAAACGATAATTCATTTTTTTTATGGATGAATAGATCGTTTTCCTAGAAAGGACCTCATATCTCTGGCTAAAAAGAGTGTCAGATCCTAAATAGATTATTGATCTAGTGTACAAATCCAATAAAAAGCCTATTTTTTTGGCTTTTTTGGTGCTCATTTTTTCGAAGATCTACATGAATATGGGGAAACCATCGGATTTTTTTGGTTAACCCACATCTTCATGTAGTCTGGACTATCTTTCCTCGAAGGACCTCTTTACGGGTGTAAAAACTCATAAAGTTCTCAAAAGATTCATTCTCGATCTCCATGCTGAAAGAATTTACAATAAAAAAGAGATCTACGCATCAAACTACAGCCATAAATGAACTGAACCCCTAAAGCTCAGCTCTTAGTTTATCAAAAACGTCGAAATCCTTCTCATTGCAATCAAATTTTCTCAATAACTCATAAGAAAAATCGAATTTTGATTAAGCCGATGTTATAGGTATCACAAATACTACAAACTTGAGCAATATCGAAATTGCCAGCAAAAGTTTGAAAATTGCATTGCTCATATTTGTTTTGTAAACTAAAAATCTGCTTATATTATTCATTAATTTTTTATATATTATTCATATACTTTAATAAAAACAATACTATTTCACCTTAAAAATGAATTTCATAAGTCAATATTATTTTTTTGAAAATGTATCAATTTTCGATTAAAACAACATGAGAATAAAATTTACGCAAAATTATTTTAAAAAATGGTTTTAAAAATTTACAATTGATTAAGAATAAGATTGCAAGAAGTTTTGAAGTTTAATTTTAAGAAAAAAAATTCGGATATTATTCATGGATCTAAGTAATCTGATATTTGAGTATCGGCACTATGCATAAAACATATATTTATAGTTTTTTTGGATTTTTATGATTTTAAATATATTCAAATTTGGCAATCCAATAGATTTTTAAAAAATAGGTAAATAAAAATAGATTACATATGCAGCAGATTTAGAACATGAAACAAATCTTATAGTGACCCAAAAAAAATTCATGATCCAAAAAAGAAAAAAATTAGCTAAATGGGAATCAAACCTTGGCATAATGAATCATTATGTCGGATGTTTCCACTACACCGGCAGTTCAATAAAAACCCTTGGTGGTTCTATTTAATAGCTACTCCCAACGATAGGCGGTGTCCCCAGCTTTAGAGAGGTGGTAAAAGTAAGGAAAATCTGGGTATACTAGAATCAAAATCTCGAGCACAAAAGTGACATTGAATACTTGTAAGTATAGAATTTCCATGTAAACTCTTCATTTCTATCGTTTTTTGTAGTCCACATTTCCTCACTCTCGATTTTACTCATAAAAATATTAAAAAATCACTATACAATATATAAAATATATATTTATGTAATAAACAGAAATTCATCAAAAGTGACGGCTCTCAATTTTTTGACATTTGTAAATTCTAAATTGAATGAGAAAAATGAAATAATACTAAGCATAATACAATATTCTAGATTTAATTATAATTAGGAAAAAGTTAGTTTTGAGAGTACTTTTCATAGGCATATAGAATGAAATCTTCTGAAAAATAATATCACATAAACTCATATTATTTTCTAATATATAACTATTTTATATAAAAATCAAATTCAATGATCTTAAAAGCGAAGGATAAACCTCAAAATTTACGAATATAATGAGTGGGAATATAATGCTTATCTATCATAAAACCATATGAAATATTAATTTTTGCTTTACGCCTAATTTTTGACGACAATTAGCAAAAAATGTTAAATGTTAACACTCAGTCCATTTGAATATGAAAAATAAAATTGACTTTGATTAAATGTTTTTATTTATCATGCAATTCTTCTTGCGACCAAAGATTTGAATAAAAGTTCAAAAAATAAGATAGCTTAAAAAATAATATACGGTAGAAAAAAAAAAAAAAAAAAAAAAGGGAAGTGGGGCCTCCAGGCACTTCGTGCCCTCTAGCCCTGAAGATGTTTAGTATAACTTTGTCCGGACAAGTAAGGGTCTATCGTCGCTACAGGAAAAGTTACAGGCGTTCCAAGGAAGTATACTTTGAGAAGCCTTTTCTCCATTTTAAAACAAGATAGGACGGTTATTTTACAAAACTGACAACACTTTGACCGAGTAGTTTTTTGTGCTGAACAAATAGTGTCATATAAACATCTGTCAAAAACCGCTTTTTAACTTCACTTAAAATGCCACGTAAGCTACGTAAGAATATACGTAAGAGGAAGAGAGCATTGAAACATCCAATAGTAAAACTGACACCACAACAACAGTTGCAACAACAAATGATGATGACCCCACTATGTTTGCAACAAATGTCAAGCAACCCTATGCTTTTAAACCGAGTTTTTGGTGCACAGAGTGGAGGTTTAAGAGCGGCACTTTTAGCGAAAATGGCAGGCTATGGTGGAGCTGCAGACGGAACAGCCTATAACCCTCAAAGTCAAATGAATTTGAGTTCACTCAAAAATCAAATAACAGATGTCAAAAAGTCAAACATAGACATACAGAAGCAAATAAGTGAAAACGAAAAGAAACTAGAATATGACAGACCACAAAGAAACTCAATGAGTTAAACGTAGAGAAAAAGAAGAAAGAAGAACAACTGAAAGAACTAAGTACAGAGGAATATGCGAAAAAAGTGTCAGAAAAAGCAGCAGAAGTAGCAAAAATGGAACAAGATGTTATAAATTTGAAAAAACCATACTACTCAATATAAAGTACTGAAAGATGAAGAGATAAAACAAAAAGCCCTGAAGACATATATGGATAGCGATGAGTATAAAAAGAAGTTGAAGCAAATGTAAAGGCAGAAAAACTTTTTACAGTTGCAAAACCAAACCGTACAGTATGAAAACTTAGGCACAAGAAAGTAAAAATAACGACGCAGCCATGCAAAAGCAATGAAAAGCGCAGAATATATAAAAGCTAACAATGACTGGTTAGATGCCCAAGCCAACGCTAAAGCAGCCCAACTTATAGGGTCAATAAGGACAAAAATACAAGCGGATGAAGACAGTTCAAATGAAGCTTTAATGAATGCTGACTTTAAGAACGCCTTCGAAGCTCTTCATAGTAAGGTGAAACTAGTGAACGACTTCTCATCTGGAAAGAAACTGAAGTCTGAAGGTTTCGACAAAGAGTTAAGAGAAGTAGCACAAAATATGACGAAAATAACAGATGCAGCAACGAGACAGGCAGTTCAAAGTGCCTATGACGCCGTTAGAGCAACTGTTGTGGAAAGTCAAGAAAAAGAGTTACAACAGACCAAAACAGACCTAGTAAATGCTTTCTTAAAAACGAAAAGTCAGGTAGGACATTATGCTGCAGATGGAACATATGTGCCAGCTGGTGGAACTTATATACCACCAAACCCTCCAAGAGAAGCACCTGCACCAGGACTACCTAAAACATTTACATCGTCACATGGACACAGACACAGGCATGCACCAAAACCAGCACAACAACCAACAGTTCAAAATCCAACACAGCAACCAACAGTTCAAAATCCAGCACAGCAACCAACAGTTCAAAACCCTGCACAACAACAACCAGCACAGCAACCACCTCCACAACCAGCACAACAACAACCTCCACAACCAGCACAGCAACCAACAGTTC